GCCTGGTAGATTCCACCAAAAGGGGAAGGGCAAAAGGGAGGGGTGTGGGGAGGAGGAGGAATGGAAAAAGGGGAGGATGGGATAGGGGAGGGGAGAATGGGGGTAATTAGGTTCGGTCTGAGGAAGAAGACCGACAGGGCTAATTCCTCAGACCAAGAGCCTCTTCACCACGCCAAGGAGCCCCCATTGAAGAGGAACGGCTTCGCAAAGCTCCTGGAGAGCGAAACTTTGCCACGATAAAATACTGCATTAGTTACATCTGTGACTATTTACCTAACACAGAGTACTTGTCTCCGACAACTGACCTGAACTCAATATATTTATGTAATCCTGCCGTACACCTTGCTTAGCCTGCGTTGTTACCTCCCAGGTCACTTGACCTGTATTGCTAGCTACTAGGTCACTTGTTAGCTACCAGGTCACTTGACCTGTGTTGTTAGCTACCAGGTCACTTGACCTGTGTTGCTAGCTACCAGGTCACTTGACCTGTGTTGCTAGCTACTAGGCCACTTGACCTGTGTTAGCTACCAGGTCACTTGACCTGTGTTGCTAGCTACCAGGTCACTTGACCTGTGTTGCTAGCTACCAGGTCACTTGACCTGTGTTGCTAGCTACCAGGTCACTTGACCTGTGTTGCTAGCTACCAAGTCACTTGACCTGTATTGCTAGCTACTAGGTCACTTGTTAGCTACCAAGTCACTTGGCCTGTGTTGTTAGCTACTAGGTCATTTGACCTGTCTTGTTAGCTACCAGGTCACTTGACCTGTGTTGCTAGCTACCAGGTCACTTGACCTGTGTTGCTAGCTACTAGGTCACTTGACCTGTGTTGTTAGCTCCCAGGTCACTTGACCTGTATTGCTAGCGCTACTAGGTCACTTGACCTGTGTTAGCTACCAGGTCACTTGACCTGTTGCTAGCTACCAGGTCACTTGACCTGTGTTGCTAGCTACCAGGTCACTTGACCTGTGTTGCTAGCTACTAGGTCACTTGACCTGTGTTGTTAGCTACCAGATCACTTGACCTGTATTGTTAGCTACTAGGTCGCTTGTTAGCTACCAGGTCACTTGACCTGTGTTGCTAGCTACCAGGTCACTTGACCTGTGTTGCTAGCTACTAGGTCACTTGACCTGTGTTGTTAGCTACCAGTTCACTTGACCTGCATTGTTAGCTACTAGGTCGCTTGTTAGCTACCAGGTCGCTTGACATGTGTTGCTAGTTACTAGGTCACTTGACCTGTGTTGCTAGTTACTAGGTCACTTGACCTGTGTTGCTAGCTACCATGTCACTTGACCTGTTTTGCTAGCTACCAGGTCACTTGACCTGTGTTGCTAGCTACTAAGTCACTTGACCTGTGCTGTTAGCTACCAGGTCACTTGACCTGCATTGTTAGCTACTAGGTCGCTTGTTAGCTACCAGGTCACTTGATCTGCGTTGCTAGCTACTAGGTCACTTGACCTGTGTTGCTAGCTACCAAGTCACTTGACCTGTTGCTAGCAACCAGGTCACTTGACCTGTGTTAGCTACCAGGTCACTTGACCTGTGTTGCTAGCTACCAGGTCACTTGACTTGTGTTGTTAGCTACCAGGTCACTTGACCTGTGATGTTAGCTACAGGTCACTTGACCTGTGTTGTTAGCTACCAGGTCGCTTGACGTGTGTTGCTAGCTCCCAGGTCACTTGACCTGTATTGCTAGCTCGCAGGTCACTTGACCTGTGTAGCTAGCTACCAGGTCACTTGACCTGTGCTGACTCACCTGGTTGAATCACCTGCTAGATTCACATGGATGAATTACCTGCCTGACTCAGATGGTTGAATCAAATGGACGACTCACCTGCCACTCACCTGGATGACTCGCCTGCCTGACTCACCTTCCAGGTTCACCTGGATGACTCACCTTCCAGGTTCACCTGGATGACTCGCCTGCCAGATTCACGTTGCTGACTCACCGGCCAGACTCACCTAGATGACTCAACTTCCAGATTCACCTGGATTACTCACCTTCCAAATTCACCTGGATGACTCACCTGCCAGATTCACCTGGATAACTCACCGGCTAGACTCACTTGGATGACTCACCTGCCTGTTCTCCCAGATATCGTTGAAGGGAAGGGACGTAGCACCAGTGGGCAGGAGGTAGTAGCTATGACCAAACACCACAGTAGCCAGGGTAGCACACTTAACACGCTTCACAACCTGCAGCTCAACCACCGTTACTGTGCTACCTGGGGGGAAAGAGAGCACCACCCTGAGGGTACCACACACACTATACAATCATCACACTGAGGGTAGCACACACACTATACAATCATCACACTGAGGGTAGCACACACACACTATACAATCATCACACTGAGGGTAGCACATACACTATACAATCATCACACTGAGGGTAGCACACACTATACAATCATCACACTGAGGGTAGCAAACACACACTATACAATCATCACACTGAGGGTAGAATAACCCCCACTATACAATATCACATGAGGGTAGCACACATACGACACAATCTCACACTGAGGGTAGCCACAAAAACTACACAGTCTTTCACTGAGGGTAGCACACACACTAAAACATCCATCAACACTGAGGTTTAGCAAACACACACTATACAATAAATCACACTGAGGGTAGCATACCACACATATCCCATCATCACATGAGGGTAGCACACATACGACACAATCATCACACTGAGGGTAGCACACAAAAACTACACAGTCATCACACTGAGGGTAGCACACACACTATACAATCATCACACTGAGGGTAGCACACACACTAAACAATCATCACACTGAGGGTAGCACGCACACTACACAATCATCACACTGAGGTTAGCACACACACACTACACAATCATCACACTGAGGGTAGCACACACACTACACACTGAGGGTAGCACACACACTACACAATCATCACACTGAGGGTAGCACACACACTACACACTGAGGGTAGCACACACACTACACAATCATCACACTGGGGTAGCACACACACTACCTCTGAGGGTAACTCACACATAACCAATCATCACACTGAGGGTAGCACACACACTACACACTGAGGGTAGCACACACACTACACACTGAGGGTAGCACACACACTACACACTGAGGGTAGCACACACACTACACACTGAGGGTAGCACACCACTACACATGGGGGTACACACACACTACACACTGAGGGTAGCACACACACTACACACTGGGGGTAGCACAAACACTACACACTGAGGGTAGCTCACACACTACACAATCATCACACTGAGGGTAGCTCACACACTACACAGTCATCACACTGAGGGTAGCTCACACACTACACAGTCATCACACTGAGGGTAGCTCACACACTACACAATCATCACACTGAGGGTAGCTCACACACTACACAGTCATCACACTGAGGGTAGCACGCACACTACACAATCATCACACTGAGGGTAGGACACACACTACACACTGAGGGTAGCACACACACTACACAACCATCACACTGAGGGTAGCTCACACACTACACACTGAGGGTAGCACACACACTACACACTGAGGGAAGCACACACAATACACACTGAGGGTAGCACACACACTACACACTGAGGGTAGCACACACACTACACACTGAGGGTAGCACACACTACACAACCATCACACTGAGGGTAGCACACACACTACACAACCATCACACTGAGGGTAGCTAACACACTACACACTGAGGGTAGCACACACACTACACTGAGGGTTAGCACACACATCCCACAATTCATCACACTGAGGGTACAACAACACTCACAACCATCCACTGAGGGTAGCAACAATTACACACTGAGGGTAGCACACACACTACACACTGAGGGTAGCACACACTACACAATCATCACACTGAGGGTAGCACACACTACACAATCATCACACTGAGGGTAGCACACACACTACACAACCATCACACTGAGGGTAGCACACACACTACACACTGTGGGTAGCACACACTACACACTGAGGGTAGCACACACACTACACAACCATCACACTGAGGGTAGCACACACACTACACACTGAGGGTAGCACACACGCTACACACTGAGGGTAGCACACACACTACACACTGAGGGTAGCACACACACTACACAACCATCACACTGAGGGTAGCACACACACTACACAACCATCACACTGAGGGTAGCTCACACACTACACAACCATCACACTGAGGGTAGCTCACACACTACACAACCATCACACTGAGGGTAGCACACACACTACACAACCATCACACTGAGGGTAGCTCACACACTACACAATCATCACACTGAGGGTAGCTCACACACTACACAATCATCACACTGAGGGTAGCACACACACTACACAACCATCGCAGAGGGTAGCACACACACTACACACTGAGGGTAGCACACACACTACACAACCATCACACTGAGGGTAGCTCCCACACTACACACTGAGGGTAGCACAACACTACACACTGAGGGTAGCACACACACTACACACTGAGGGTAGCACACACACTACACAACCATCGCACTGAGGGTAGCACACACACTACACAACCATCGCACTGAGGGTAGCACACACACTACACACTGAGGGTAGCACACACAATACACACTGAGGGTAGCACAGACACTACACACTGAGGGTAGCACACACACTACACACTGAGGGTAGCACACACACTACACAACCATCACACTGAGGGTAGCACACATACTACACAACCATCACACTGAGGGTAGCTAACACACTACACACTGAGGGTAGCACACACTACACACTGAGGGTAGCACACACACTACACACTGAGGGTAGCACACACTACACACTGAGGGTAGCACACACACTACACACTGAGGGTAGCACACACACTACACACTGAGGGTAGCACACACTACACACTGAGGGTAGCACACACACTACACACTGAGCGTAGCACACACAAACCAACATCACATTGAGGGTAGCACACACTACACATGAGGGTAGCACCACCTACACACTGTGGTAGCACACACACTACACACTGAGGGTAGCACACACACTACACACTGAGGGTAGCACAAACACTACACAACCATCACATTGAGGGTAGCACACACACTACACAACCATCACACTGAGGGTAGCACACACACTACACAAGCATCACACTGAGGGTAGCACACACACTACACAACCATCACACTGAGGGTAGCACACACACTACACACTGAGGGTAGCACACACTACACAACCATCACACTGAGGGTAGCACACACACTAGACAACCATCACACTGAGGGTATTGTAGATGAATGGTTCAGACACTGCAACTTCTTGGGATCTTAATACTTGGGAATTCTTCGCTTGCCTAATTCTTGGGCACGACCTACTTCAACATTGAACAAATGTTACACGACCTATGACTTCTGCACCTCTCCTGCCAACGGTTTATAAGCTCCTTCTCAGCACGTATGCCGTATTCTATTCAAGATTGATGGACTGACCACATCGACTCAAGGTTGAGGGACTGATTACCTCATTTTCCTCCTGTTCTTCAAGATTCTCCTTTGTATGGACTGATGAAGCCACTGTGTGGCGAAACGTTTCCTCAATAAAGATACCCAAGAGTTGCACATGTGTCTAATTTATCAACACTGAGGGTAGCACACACACAACACAATCATCACACTGAGGGTAGCACACACACTACACATCAATCACACTGAGGGTAGCTCACACACTACACAATCATCACACTGAGGGTAGCACACACACTAGACAACCATCACACTCAGGGTAACACACACACTACACAACCATCACACTGAGGGTAGCACACACACTACACACTGAGGGTAGCACACACACTACACACTGAGGGTAGCACACACACTACACACTGAGGGTAGCACACACACTACACACTGAGGGTAGCACACACACTACACACTGAGGGTAGCACACACACTACACACTGAGGGTAGCACACACACTACACAACCATCACACTGAGGGTAGCACACACACTACACACTGAGGGTAGCACACACACTACACACTGAGGGTAGCACACACACTACACACTGAGGGTAGCACACACACTACACAACCATCACACTGAGGGTAGCACACACACTACACACTGAGGGTAGCACACACACTACACACTGAGGGTAGCACACACACTACACACAGAGGGTAGCACACACACTACACACTGAGGGTAGCACAAACACTACACAACCATCACATTGAGGGTAGCACAAAATTACACAACCATCACATGAGGGTAGCACAAAACACTAGACAAATCACCTGAGGGTAGCACAACACACAACACAATCATCACACTGAGGGTAGCACACACACTACACACAGAGGGTAGCACACACACTACACACTGAGGGTAGCACAAACACTACACAACCATCACATTGAGGGTAGCACACACATTACACAACCATCACACTGAGGGTAGCACACACACTAGACAACCAACACACTGAGGGTAGCACACACACAACACAATCATCACACTGAGGGTAGCACACACTACAAAATCATCACACTGAGGGTAGCACACACACTACAAACTCATCACACTGAGGGTAGCACACACACTACACACTGAGGGGAGCACACACGCTCACCATGGGGGGTAGCACACACACTACACATGAGGGTAGCACACACACTACACACTGAGGGTTAGAACACACATACACAACCATCACACTGAGGGTAGCACCACAACTACCAATCATCAACTGAGGGTAGCACACACACTACACACTGAGGGTAGCACACACACTACACACTGAGGGTAGCACACACACTACACACTGAGGGTAGCACACACACTACACACTGAGGGTAGCGCACACACTACACACTGAGGGTAGCACACACACTAAACAACCATCACACTGAGGGTAGCACACACACTACACAACCATCACACAAAGGGTAGCACACACACTAAAAACTGAGGGTAGCACACACACTACACACTGAGGGTTTGCACACCACACTACACATGAGGGTAGCACACACATACACATGAGGGTAGCACACACACTACACACTGAGGGTAGCTCACACACTACACAATCATCACACTGAGGGTAGCACACACACTACACAATCATCACACTGAGAGAAGCACACACACTACACAGCCATAACACTGAGGGTAGCACACACACTACACAACCTAC